GGAAACGTGGAGAAGGTTTCTGTGTCATCGACTCTGCACCCGCACGTGGAGCGTGTACATGTGTGAGGGTCACACGCGTGTCATGGGTAGTTCAGGGCACATGTTCCACGTCTGCTCATCGTCTGTGACCACAGCTTGGCTCACAGCCTCTGGACGACCTTGTGTTTTAATCGTTGCCCAACTTCCTCGAGCCCCAGGCAGAGTCCCGGGAGGACAGGGGAGGCCCCGCTCAGGGGTCCGAGGCCGGGACGGGAGGGATGGGCTGCACAGGCTCTGGGAGGAGTGTGGTCCCCATCCCGCCCTCCACACCCTCCCGCAGAGGGAAGGGCCTGCTCTCCACCCAGCCCCTGCTCCACACCCTGGGAACCCCCTTGTGTTCAGGGTCCCGGAAGCCACCCCTGGGAAGGGGGGCAGGGCCTCACCTTTCTCTCCCCGCGCGCCCTTCTCCCCTCGGTCTCCTGCAGAGAGAGGAGGGTCAGCACAGGCTCGAGGACAGGACAGGCTCATGCCAGACCCCGTCAGCCAGAGGGCTCGCCTGTCCCCACCCTCCTGGGGCTGAGAGAGCCCAGGGCAGGGACAGGTCATGGGGCAAGGGAGCCGGGTCTCGTTTATGTGCCGGGTCAGTGCTGGGCTGGTCTCTGGACACAGACCCCGGCCCAGGGTGAGGGAGCACCCTGTTTAGAGCAGGGTTGGCCCCTAGAAAGCCCCATGTGACACCCGGGAAGTGGCCCTCCCCTCTCCCTGCCCCTGAGTGTTTGGATGTCCGGCCCGGGCTCTCCATGCTCTTTGGTGAGTTACCTTTGGGCCCGGGGGGTCCCGCCTTCCCAGGGACTCCTGATGGGCCTGGTTCTCCTGCAAATTTAAACATGTCAGTGGCAAACTCTGGGGGACCCAGGCCCCTAGCGCCCCCGGTTTGACCCTCGGGAACCAGAGGGAGGGGACCCGGACCCCAGCCCTCCTAGTCCCCGCTGTCCAGTCAGAGGCCAGGACCTGCGACCAGGGGCCTTCCCAGGGGACCAGGCGTGAGCCCAGCTCTGCCCTCACCCGGGGAACCTGGGCGTTTCCATTGGCTGCGACTGCCGAGCCCGCTGTGGTCCCCCCTGGAGACAGGCCCCCCGGGCTCAGCTGGGACCAGGGAGGGCAGGGAGGA